CTACCAACTGAAAATATTGGGTGTGTCCCGCGCGCTCATATGACCTATGCAGTTGCGAGCGCCGTAAAACACTTTACAAAAACAAAAGGAAAGAAAAAGCAGCAGTTCCCTGTTGTAGATCAGGCAAAGTTATGAGCGTGACACGAATCAGCCCATTTACAATTCTACTGTGCTTGAACGAGAAATGTCCCCCCTTTGGGAATGGCCTAAAGACACTACAGTCAGTGGCACTGCCCCTTTCTTGGTGGTTAGGAGTCAAAAAAAGTGTTTCTGTTTGTTTGTTTGAGCAAAGACAAGCGTGTCGACTTTGTTTTGTTCTGTTTGAGAAGGGAGAAGCACATGGACACAATACATGTACTGGTCAGTTTAGTTTTAATAAAAATTTTACGTCACTTGCAACACAATAACTTATAACTATAAGGTCATAAGTGCCGAAGATTAGAGGTGTTACAAGAGAGTAATGAACATAAAAAAGAAGGGGAGATAAGGACGATAGATGTTTGATAGGAAAGAAGGAGCAAACCACACCAGAGCACCCGCCAACCACCCACGTTTGAGTAGGGAGAAGCACATCGACACAATAATGGTCAGTTTAGTGCTGGGACATCTAACCAGAATGCCCCAGAAACAACTTGCCGCTGGAGCTTACAACACCTGAGAATCAGGCTTCAAATCAAGAGGAAGACCAAGAAAGACCTGGCAGGATGGGGTTAAAAAGGTCCTGGAACAACATAACATGTAGGCCTACTTCACAGACACTACACACCTAGTACAGGACCGAAACTTGCATTACTTGCACCTCCCCTCGACATCGTAAGGATACCAGATGAACAAAGAAGTAGGTCAAAGTAAAGTAGCGCTGGGAAAAAGTAAGTTTTAGTTTTAGTAGAGGTTTTACGGCGCTCGCAACACTATAAGGTCATATGAGCGCCAGAAGATTAGAGGTGTTACAAGAGAGTAACAAACATAAAAAAGGAGGGGAGATAAGGACGATAGGTGTTTGATAGGAAAGAAGAAGCAAACCACACCTGAGCACCCGACAACCACCCACGGAAAAAGTAAGACAGACAGAAACAACACAGGGAAAGTAAAGATCAAGTATAGTAGGACCTACCAGTGGCGCCCTCCAACCACCCGCTCATCTCGAAACAATCCTAGTCATTTAGTGCACGGATAGAGTAAGACAGACAAACAGAAGTTGGGTTGGGTTTTTTTTATAGAAAGAGTTGTGCGGCATTTGCAACACAAAATGGGTCAAGTGTAGAAGATTAGAGGTTTTACTATAGAGCAACATGCAAAGAGAATATAATACGGAGAAGAGATAAGGACGACAGGTGTCTGATGCATGTAAGTGTAAGTAAAAGGGAGCAGACCACACCAGAGCGCTCTCCAACCTCCCCCCCACCCATTTTTTACACACACACACACACAAACACACACACTCTCTATCATACTGAGACTGAAGTCCAACTGAACTGAGAACAAACTAGATTATATTTTCCCTCATGAACACTTGAGTTACTACATACTATATGGCCAGTTTTTGCTATGCTGCAGGCACGTATATAAAAAAAAAAAGCCAAAACAACAAAAGAACTCCAATATTTTCCTACATTGTTGTAGATTTCTTTATTATAAATACACTGTTTTTGTCAAATTATCTTCCAGTTCAAAATAATCTGGAATGCTGGAAAACTTAAGTCCAGCAATTTCAAAATAAAAATCTTCCGGAATGTTTGAAAATCTTGCCCAACAACATGATTAAAAACATTGCATTGGTTACATGTTTTAAAAAAATAATTTTTAAGAAAAGGAATGTCGAAAAGGAATGTCCGAGATAAAAAGGTACAGCTGCAATACTTACAAAAGACAGGTTCAAATATTTCAATTATTGTAAAAACGAGGTCAGGATTCGACAAACCTAAGACTGTCCCCGTGGTTTTATGCACCCTGAATAATTTAGCAAAATTTGATCATTTTCCGCATAATTTCTGATTATTTTCCTTTATCATTCTTTGTTAAAATTAACAGAATCGCATAATTTCACATTTTTGGGCTCAGTTAGCATAATTTCAGAATTTTTCTTGCATGAAACGACAGGGACAGATAAAAACAAAAGACAAGTTTGATGTGATGATATGGGAAATTTAAAAAATGTACAGAAACATTGACTGTCATGTCATGAGGAATAAGATTTAAAGCAACATTCTATCAATATTAACCCCTTCATTGCCGTATGACGTGCCGGATGCGTCATGAAAATGCGCAATTTTTAGCTTTGTAGGTCACGGAAGTCGGCAAAATTGGCCATTCCTGGTTGCCTATAGCACAATACATGTTGTACGTCACGCTCGTCATCTGGCTTTTGATTCTTCTGTACAGAGATTTAGCCACGGCATCGATTCGTATTTGGGAATTTAAAGCCCACATCGGTTCAGTACCAAATTTGTTAACATTAGTTCACCGTTAGGCTTACAAGCAACCAATAAACACAGGTCTAGTCTCGCAGACAAATGTGTGCTCTCCCAAAATGTAAAAATCAAAATGACTTACCTTTAAAAAGGCAGAAAATTTCACTTCTTGACTTAGATTTTTGGCAAGTTTTAAAAAGATTATGAGTAAGACGGGAAATATAGGGGATGAGAAAAGAGAAGAAAGTGACACTATTGAAGATCCGCGGTCCGAAATGTGTCATGAGTGGGCTAAATCGCAACTCCTCTAACACTGAGACACGACACTGCTGTCCTGGCTAACAGGCTTCATTGAAAATCAGTGCTGACAGTAGGAACGTACACTCTTTGGCAACAAAGGGGTTAATCTACCTATTCAGGACAAAAGAGGAGAAATAAGAAAGAAAAAAAAGTTAACTATCCCATGAACTTGAAAGAACCCATCGATGTTACAAGGAACAGTTCAAAAAGTCACATCGGTGAACAGACGGCCTAATATCGTGTCAGAGGCTGTATGATACACGTACATAAATTTACAAACACAAAATGTCAACAAGAAATCATTGAATCTATACATGGATGTAATCTGGATACATACAAAGTGCATACATATTATTTACAATTCAAATTATGTTACATATGATATGTTTGCGATGTTGGCGATCATTACTTACAAATCTTGGATTGCAAGAGAACAAGAGTTATGCCGGTCCCAGACTGGCTCTGTAGGTCTGGCCTGTCGCTCGCCTAGCCTGCACCGTGCAAATGAAAGTATTATCGTGTGCCTGAGCAGCGTCACTGTATGGTCTGTCTGTTGTCCGCTGAGCTGTGCGACGCGTCAGACGTGCTATTCAACAGTGTTGTAAAACATGTCGGACATGTGTTACATGCAGCCTCGCTTCGCATTTATTTTCGACTGAAATTCTTCACAGATCATCAAAATCAGCAAGAAGTTAGTATTATTAGGTGCTTTACCATTAGATATTGATGCTAGCATCAACACTTGACCACAAAATCCCTAGAAATGCACTTTATCCTACATTAAAATTTCGAATCAAGAGGTTGACCTAGTTTCAACTGTTTGCATACATTCGTAGGCCTGTGTGCTTCTAGCGTAGTGCGGCTGCGCTGACACGCAGAGGGCGCTCACTCAGACACAGAAGCCAACGCACAGTACGGCTGTGCTGACACGCAGAGGGCGCTCACTCAGACACAGAAGCCAACACACAGTGCAGCTGTGCTGACACGCAGACCGCGTGCGCTTGGCGAGCTACAGGTCAGACCTACAGACGCCACTCTGGGACCAGCCTTATAAGTAGTGTCAGTCTCAGATCTCTCCAAAGTCATCCCTGCGTACCTAAAAAGCCTTTTTTTCTTTCCTTTACTGAGCAATTAAAAAAACCAAAAAAACCCTGAGCAACTTTTGCTCACTCCCATTTGGCGAAAAACACAACTGCTCACCAAAAAAAAATTGATTGTGCATCAACATTAACTGCCTTCTAAACATGAAAGAAAAAGTGCTGAGGTTCAACAATTTTATCTTTAATTCAACACCAAAACAAGCTCCTGAAATTTATGACAGGCAGCTGGTAAAAAATCAGATAAGATAATACTTTATTATCTCAGAGGGAAATATCGGGACAATGCTATAAGAATATATCTTTACATCATCTGTGAAGAAATGTTTCAATTGACTAAAATTGAGCCCTGATTTTTTTTTTGTCTATTAATTTTGTCAGAGATTTCATAAAATACATTAAAACTGTACAAAAGTAAAAGATCATATTATTTGAATGGCCCCATGAACACACCGAAACAAAATAACGTTTGTCTCAGTATGAGTGACCTCCTCTCAACCCTGGTCCAGCAAGTGCGAACCCTATCGCAACACCGAGAATAACAGATGTGACGATGCCAATAATCCCTGTCAGAAAAGCGTAGTTGCTCCACTTTGTTGCGTAATGGACGTCTCCATCGTTGAAGGCTGAATCGGACTTTACTGCAATGAAAAAAAAAAAAAACATGTCTGAAATGCAAGAGTAAAGAATACCGCTTGGTGCCCAATGCCATATATATGAATAAGCTCAGATCCATACTGCAAAGAAAAAAAAACATGTCTGAAATGCAAGAGTAAACAATACCGCTTGGTGTCCAGTGCCATATATATGAATAAGCTCAGATCCATACTGCAAAGAAAAAAAAACATGTCTGAAATGCAAGAGTAAACAATACCGCTTGGTGTCCAGTGCCATATATATGAATAAGCTCAGATCCATACTGCAAAGAAAAAAAAACATGTCTGAAACGCAAGAGTAAACAATACCGCTTGGTGCCCAATGCCATATATATGAATAAGCTCAGATCCATACTGCAATGAAAAAAAAACATGTCTGAAATGCAAGAGTAAAGAATACCGCTTGGTGCCCAATGCCATATATATGAATAAGCTCAGATCCATACTGCAATGAAAAAAAAAAAAAACATGTCTGAAATGCAAGAATAAACAATACCGCTTGGTGCCCAATGCCATATATATGAATAAGCTCAGATCCATACTGCAATGAAAAAAAAACGTTTTAAACGCAAGAGTAAAGAATACCGCTTGGTGCCCAATGCCATATATATGAATAAGCTCAGATCCATACTGCAATGAAAAAAAAAAAAAACATGTCTGAAACGCAAGAGTAAAGAATACCGCTTGGTGCCCAATGCCATATATATGAATAAGCTCAGATCCATACTGCAATGAAAAAAAAACATGTTTTAAACGCAAGAGTAAAGAATACCGCTTGGTGCCCAATGCCATATATATGAATAAGCTCAGATCCATACTGCAATGAAAAAAAAACATGTTTTAAACGCAAGAGTAAAGAATACCGCTTGGTGCCCAATGCCATATATATGAATAAGCTCAGATCCATACTGCAATGAAAAAAACATTGTTTTAAAATGCAAATGTACCATCATTTATTCATTTCACTTGATGTCTAGTATCATATGAATAGACTATAACATCCTTACGCAATGAAGATGTTATAGTTATACAGTGTGGGCAAGAATTGTAAGAGAGCAATGTCCCAGACTTGCACTGGTGGCAAAAGATAAGCAAAATAATATGTCTTTGAATGGACAGTAGATTAGTTCAGGGGTGTTCATGTGTCTAGATTTACATACCAGTGAAGACTAATATCCAGTATCCATTGCAGAAAGTTTTGTCAAATCTATAACTGATATGGTTTGATCAATTCATTTTAGTTAGTTTTAGTAGAGGTTTTACAGCCCTCGCAACTGCATAAGGTCATATGAGCGCCAAGGGATGTGTGTCAACAGAGAAATCATTACAGGGAATCAGACTTACTCTGCTCACCTCTCTAGCTTCAACAGCACAAAGTCTGCTTCGACCATCAAGGCACCCCGGAAACAGCGGGTCACAAGAGTGTGACAAACAAACAAAAGAAGTAGAGGAAAGTGACAATAGTAAGGATTAGGAAAGAAAAAGCAGCAGTTCACTGTTGTAGTTCAGGCACAGTTATGAGCATGACATTGTTGGGTCAGGCAAGTTCCCGCTATAGGACTGCAATGGGGAATTACCCCAAAACCAGACACTACATGCTTTCCTCTTCTTTTATTGTCTTTTTTGGCCTAGCCTAGGCCTAAGGCTATGGCACATCACTTTGGGAGTGGCTCACGTAACACGTCTCTCCGCACCATCTCTCTCTGCCGCCTGCCCCACCTCACTCATCACTGGACTGGCCAATCACAACGCCGCACCGCTGACTACCAGTTCGGAGCCTACCTACAGCCCCCCACCCCCCAACCCTCTTCCTCCAGCTAGTGCTCGCTCGATCTTTCACCCGCTGTTTCCAAGCTCGGGCCTTTCCTTGCCCCGTTAAACCCGAGCACAGGTAATTGAGTTTACATAGACAAGAAAAAGAGGATTCCCGTAAGGTCTCGCTGTAGCGGATGCTGCGATAGTCTTGTTCTACTGTATCAAAAAGTAAGTGTGAAGCGCAAATGCAATAGAGTGGATACCAGAAGGTATGCCATGCAGGGGGTGTGTATCATACCTTTGTTTCCTGTCCCGCACACACACATGTCAACCTTACATACATACAATACTACAGGAATACGTAGCAAGAAGCAAAGTGGAAAATATATAAAGTGAAGTTTGGAAAAATAATGACACATAAATATAAATATTGCAAAAGTACCTACAGACTCCCCAAAACTGTTACCAGCGGAAAAGCCTATAACTCTGTGGGAAAAGGTTTTTTTTGGGTCACATGTTGTACTTGTAATAGATTATGATGCAAGCCAGCCCTATTCATTTTGACTAATATCATGATTTTCCTGTAACTTTTCTACACAAAAATGTAAAGATAAAGTCTGCTTACAGGCAAATACGATAGCAACGGCACCAATCACTGGATTGATGAGTGTGGCGACAATAGCAAAGTACAGGTAGTTGTGAGGTTTCAAGCCCACAAAGTGTCCCTGTCTGATGGTAGGGTGGACATAAACAGGATCTCTCGTCACCAGTAGTTGCTTGGAGTTCGTCGAATAGACCTCGGGGGGCGCTGGTGTTGTTCCGGTATTCATCATGATGGCCTGAAAGAAGTTATAATGAAGTAAGACATTTGAATAAATTAACCCTGGTGTAAAAATTAAACGTTAACCACCCACGGCATCCCCCTGACCCAAGCTCTCCGGCTGGCGACAGAGACGAGTCTTTCTTCCCGCGACACCAAAAAGGGTATAAGTGGCGGATAAAAGTAAAAGTAAAGTAAAGTAAAAATAAAGTAAGGCCTACAAGCAATTACTATAGCAGTTTCAAATCCTATCATACTAGATTGCCCCTGTTAACTTTGTAAATCCCAAAACTTCTTCCTACCAGGCAGTGGGTTAACTGTTTTTTATACCTACATAGAGAAATTATTTTATGTTGTTTTAGTTTTAATTTTAGTAGAGGTTTTACGGCGCTCGCAACTGCATAAGGTCATATGAGCGTCACAAAATTAGAGGTGTTACAAGAGAGTAACAAACATAAAAAAGAAGAAGGGGAGATAAGGCTATCATAAGGACGATAGATGTTTGCCTGAAAAGAAGAAGCAAACCACACCAGACCACCCCCCCACCACCCACAATTATATGTTGAATGCTCGGTTGGACTTGGAGCACTACACCAGTGCCAGATGGCACATCTAGATGCTTTAATCTCTATTTCTATTCTCTCTCCTCCCCCCCCCCTTCATCTTACTGAACCAATATAAATAATGCATTTTCTAGGGTAGTAGACCTGGGCTGTCATCTTCTTTGACTCTTCATTAAGAACATACTATTAATATAATAATAATAATAATAATAATAATAATAATAATAATAATAACAATAATAATAATAATAATAAATGAATTTATAATGGCCAGAATCCACTGTAAAAGTGCTCGGTGGCGCTTACAAAACACACACACACGCCACAAAACTCTAAAGCTCACTGTCACTACATGCATATAAATAAAAAATAATTAAAAATGACAGATATTTCAGATATATGGAGTTCGAGCATTATAAAATGCTTCTCTGAAAAACTTTCTCTTCAAATTTGATTTAAAGATGCACAAAATATATACGAGGTTTCCAGTAAATCAATGATTTGAAACAGAAAAGGAAGTGGCTATCCTCACCGCGGGGAAAAATACGATCGACCTCTCACCCCGGGTGAGACTTGCCAGCATTGGCATTCTCACCCAGTGTGAAACAACACCTGTTTTTCCAAATTTTGAAATACTGAATCACTGTCTATCGGTGAGGATGATCAGATGAATGATATAGATCTAGACAAAAGCAAAGAAAAAATGACATTATAGCACAAAAGTAAGCTAATTTGGTCGTCTACAAAGATGCTACGGCTATTTAACTTTTCGAATCGAGCCGAACTACGCGGGTTGCCATTTTGCTTTGCCCGGAAGTTCTTGCGCTACTCCTCTCTCTCCCCCGTGAGGAAAATTCCTGCCCATAATAAAAGCTAGCCTAGGCTATAGGCCTATCCTATGTTCAAATGTGGATATTTGTCATTGGAGAACTAAGACGAGTTCACTAGAGGGGAGGAATTCCGTAATGAGCGACCACTGTGAAACAGAGTTGAATAGAGGGTTAGGGTTAGGGTTTGGGGTAGGGGTAAGGGTAGAGGTAGGGCTAGTAGGCTAGAGGTAGGGCTAGAGGTAGGGCTTGGAGTAGGGCTAGCTAGGACTAGGGGTTGAGTCAGGGTAAGGGTTCTTTATTGTGTTTGTTGAGGTGGTCGAAGTCCTCCCCACAAAAGGAAGAAAAGTGAAAACTTTTTTCTTCAAATTTTGATAATGACACACCACAAAAGTCAAGCAATAGTCGCAGTTGACACTGACACGGAATACGGAAGTAAGGTAGTGAGTGTGGTGAGGGACTGGTAGAAGAAACCAAATACGTGAACCAAGTGAAGGAAAATGGGAACAAAACCAGCCCCGCTCTCGTTCTCAGGTAAACAAACGAGCTGCCTAATCCAAAGCCCATTACATATAAAAGATTTTGGCTTTATATTTACCGTTTACTCTACAGCATCCGAAGAATGTAAGATTCAAACAAGCGTCTAGATACCCCTACAAGGGCACAGTCGTCAGACACAATAACTTGAAACACAGCTTCCGGAACTAGGCTACTCTAGACAGGTAAACTTTCTACAATTGCACAGCTGCGCATGCGCCAGGTGAAACTGAAGGTTGTTATTTTGACGTCACCATTCACAGGTGGGCGAGTTGAGAAAATCCAATTCAGTGAAGCGGAGAATGCAGATCCATAACGAACTATGAGTCACCAATAAGCAGTAGAATAAGAAAGAGAACGTTGAATGATCACAAGCTATTATAACACCGACGCGTAGGAGTAGGAGCTCTGAGCTAATCGCAATATGCCACCCACATAAGAGTCAACAAAACGGCCAACGTTTAAAAATAAGTGATTCTATCATCAATTTGAATATTGAATAGGCTTATTATAATCTGCTGTCCTGGGTAGACAAAGTATTTGGGTTACGCAGTATTTGGAAACATTCCATTTGTCGAAAATGCCGCTCTGCCAGGCACTGAGTAAGACCGTACCAACGGAATAGACTCACACACACACGAATAAACTCTCTCTCTCTCTCCCTCTCTTCTCTCTCTCCCATGTCTCTGTCTCTGTCTCTCTCTGTGTGTCTCTCTCTGTCTCTGTCTCTCTCCCTGCACATGTCTCTGTTTCTCTCTGTTTTTCTCTGTTTCCGTTCTCTCTCTCTCTCTCTCTCTCTCTCTCTCTCTCTCTCTCTCTCCCTCTCTCTCTCACATTCTCTCTCCTTCTATTTGTCTGTATGTCTATCTGTTTGTCTGTCCATGTCTCTGTCTGTCTTTCTGCCTGTCTTGTCTTTCAGTCTGTCTGTCTGCCTGTCTGTCTGTCTGTCTATCTGTCGGTCTGTCTGTCTGTCTGTCTGTCTGTCTGTCTGTCTGTCTATCTGTCTGTCTGTCTCTCTCCCAGTCTCTTTCTCTCCTTCTGTCTGCCCGTCTGTCTGTCTGTCTGTCCATGTCTCTGTCAATCTTTCTGTCTGTCTTGTTTTTTCTGTCTGTCTGTCTGTCTGTCTGTCTGTCTGTCTGTCTGTCTGTCTGTCTGTCT